CCTCAGCCTCCTGAGTAGGTGGGATTACAGATGCCCACTACTATGCCCAGCTAATTTTTGTATTTTTAGTAGAGACAAGGTTTCACCATTTTGGCCAGGCTTGTCTCAAACTCCTCATCTCAGGTGATCCACCTGCCTGGCCTCCCAAAGTGCTGGGATTACAGGCGTGAGCCACCACGCCCAGCCAAGGCCCTATTTTAATGTGCTTATAGCTATAAATTTCTGATCTTCACACTGCTTTTGTGCATCCCATAACTTTCGGTATGTTGTATTTTCATTTTCCATTCTAGGTATTTTTTAATTTCCCTTGAGATTTTTTCTTTTACTTATTGGTTAAAAGTATGTTATTTTTACAACTTTGTGAGTGTTTTAGTTTTTCTTCTGTTATTGACTTGATTTGTGACATAACATACAGTCCATCCTGGAGAATGTCCATATGTGATCCATGGACATTGAGAATAGTGTGTATTCTTCTGTTGTTGGGTGGAGTATCCTGTATATGTATCTGTTATATAAGCCATTTATTTTCTAACTTATCTTCTGTCTGGTGATTCTGTTCATTACAGAGAGTGAAGTGTTAACATCTCTATTATTTTAGAACTGTCGACTTCTCTCTTCAATTCTATCAATTTGTGCTTCATATATTTTAGTGGTTTATTATTAGGTACATGCATGCTTATAATATTTATATCTTCTTGCTAAAGGGACTTTCGTGAATACCCAGTATCTTTGTATTTTTATGTAGCATTTTTTATTTTAAGTCTATTTTGTCTGATATTAATATAGCCAACCCAAATCTATTTTGCATACTGTTTGCACGAAGTATCTGTTTTCTTCCTTTTACTTTCAGCCTAGTTGTGTCTTTCAATCTAACGTGAGTCTTGTAAAAACAAGATAGGCAGATCATGTTTTATAGTCTGTTCTGCTGATGTTTGTCTTTTAATTAGATAGTTTAATACTTTTACATTAAAATAATTACTCAAAAGTAGAGAGTTCTGTCCTTTTGCTATTTGTTTTCTGTATACCTTACATCTTCTAGTTTTATATTTTCTACATTATTTCTTGTTGTTTGATTGCTTTTTTCTGGTGAAACATTTACACTTTTTATTTTCTTTTGTGTATCTTCTGTAGTTTTTTTGTGATTACGATCATGGGGATGACATTTAACATCTGAATTTATTTATTTTAATTGCTGCATAGGACTATATTCA